GACCGATTAATGGTGAATTTTTTCATTATGTGTACCTGTTTTTCTACTGCGTTACTAACGCAGTGAGAGCATTTTTTTGCATATTTTGACCTCTTATTGTAAATTTTGAAATGAAAGTGGGTTGTAAGTGCCATTGATATGGTGTAAAATGATCGCTTTTGGTTACTATACAGTAATATACAATTTATTTAATTTTCAAAATTTTCATGAAAATAAGAATTAATCTGGAGGGTTGCTGCTTAAATGGTTGGAGCATTCTTACTAAAAACTATTTAAATGGCACCCTGTCATATCATCAATCTATTAACTCTCTCTTGAGGAGCTCAATGACTGTTAAGAAAAAATGAGCCGCGTCACGGCAAAATCAACATAGTGCGTTTGCGACCAGCATGGATCCAGACCAGCCTGATCAGGATCCATGCTGTTCACTATCAGTTTCTCTACTTGTAATAAGGTTTGTAAGCGAACAGCATAGATCCTTATCATTATCAAAAATGAGTCGCGTCATGACAAAAACAACATAGTGCGTTTGCGACCAGCATGGATCCAGACCAGCCTGCGCATCCACGCAGTCTGATCAGGACCCATGCTGTTCGCTATCAGTTTCTCTACTTGTAATAGAGTTTGTAAGCGAACAGCATGGATCCTGATCAGACTGCGCAGAGGCTCGTCTGGATCCATCTGGTCACAAACCCATTATGTTGGTTTTGTCTTGACACAGCTCAAATGTTTTATTCATTAATATAACAAATAAACGAGACAGACAATTTAATATATATCATTTTAATTCTATTTATTTGTACAGATTTCTTTGCTTATAACAAAATATCACAGCAATTGGCAATGTTTGCACTACTTGAAATATCATTACATCATAAGTCAAAACTGAAAAAAAAATTTTTTTGATTCAAGTGCAAATTTTTAGGTGGTTAAGAAACATTTCAGCAGTTGTTTTTATCCCCATGTGTACTTGGGACACAAAAATTCTAATTAACCAAAAACTTTCAATTACAAAAGAGGTCATTTGGCCAATGGATAAATTGCTGAAGGTCATCTATGGATCATTCCAATACATGTATACAGTTTGGTCAAAATCTATTAAGTGGCTTAATGATGAATGTTTTTGTTCTTTTTTGGTTTGTCCAGTTTGAAAAATGGACAAGTCCATTTAAGATATTTAGGTAGAAGGGGTTAATGCTACATGGCAATACTTAACTGTTATATCAAAATGAATTTTAGGTTAAAGTTATAATACGCTTTATTCTACATTAAAATTCCATTGAACATGAAATAAACAACAAAAGATGCTCATTTTTAATTATGTAAGCAATTGCTTTAACATTTCCATAGAAATATTACTTATGCAACCTACTTACTTACTTTTAAACAAATCTCTAAATGATAAAATTCAATAAATTCTCTAATTTTCATTATTATTATTGTTATTATTATTATTATTATTATTATTATTATTATTATTATTGTAACCAGAATGAATTTGTACGAACTAGTTTGACACAGCGATTCCAACACAAAAATTTCACTTAGTTTGTCATTTCAAATTTGTAAATAAAGTGTGCGCTTCTTTCACAATAAATGCAAAAAAAAAAAAAAAACTTAGTGTGTCTTCTCAAATTTGGAAATCAAGTGTGAACTAGTTTGACACATCAATTCCATCTTAGTTTGTCATTTCTTGATAAGGTACATTGGTTGCATTTGGAGCTGAAGCATTTATTGACACCTGATCGAGATTTCTCAAAAACACAGTGCTGTCAAACATTGAACTTCCGGCCCGATACTTTGCAGATTCTGAAATGAAGAATTCAATCTTCAGAGAACATTGCAATGTTTTAAAGCAGATCCTAGATTTAAAATGAAATCTACATTGTATAAATTCTGAAAAGAAGAATTAAAACTTTCAAGTAAATTGCAATGTTTTAAAGCAGATATTAGTCTACATTGTATAAACTTATTCTGTTTAGTATAATGACAACATGATACTTGAGAGAAAGGTCTGGACTAATAAATTGTTGTGTGCAAAATTTCAAATCATTGTGTCACTCCATTTTCCCAGAACAATAATTTTTAATGTGCAAAATCACCTTAAATGAAAAGCGTTTCAACTCTTTTTCTCTCAAACAATGATAAGAATTGTACAACAAATTGATTTTCAACTGAACTCTGAGTATGCTTTTCTTTATTATCCTTTGCATTTTTTTCAGACATGATGTATATAAAAGTTTTATGTGTTTATGTTTTTTTACCTCAGTTGACCACGATCCATATTGTTATTAGCTGAAATACTGTAATTAATTTTTCTTTGGAACAGCATGATTGAATGAACAGCATGATAAAATGTTAACAGATTTCAATATGATCAAAAGACAAAAATTAAGCAACTAACAGAATATAATAGAGCCTGTTCAATTGCTAATCAGTTTCAGTAGAAAAAAGGTAATTATTAACATATACAATCCTATGAATAAAAATTCCATATACATGTACTATCCTATGAATTTGATTTAAGACAACTGTTGAGATAGGAGATCTAAGAGCAAATTTGCTAACTGTGAACATTGTCTTTTTTACAAAAAAAAAAACATCCATAAGCTGAGTAGAAAAATTGGGAAGATTCTATCATAACTGTGACAACAGCCAGTCACAATCATAACTGTGACAACAGCCAGTCACAATCATAACTGTGACAACAGCCAGTCACAATCATAACTGTGACAACAGCCAGTCACAATCATAAATGTGACAACAGCCAGTCACCATCATATCTCTGACAACAGCCAGTCACAATCATATCTCTGACAACAGCCAGTTACAATCATAACTGTGACAACAGCCAGTCACAATCATAACTGTGACAACAGCCAGTCACAATCATAACTGTGACAACAGCCAGTCACAATCATAACTGTGACAACAGCCAGTTACAATCATAACTGTGACAACAGCCAGTTACAATCATAACTGTGACAACAGCCAGTCACAATCATAACTGTGACAACAGCCAGTTACAAAATACAGTATAACCTCTACTGAGTAACACCCTATAGGAGACAAACACTTTGGTTGTTCCTTTAGAGAAGTTGACTTTATTGTGCATCATTACTTTAGGAAGAGATAATACTGTTGTTGTAAAGAGGTGATTGCTATATAGAGGGCCACTCTGCAAAGGTTGCACTGTATTATAAAAACTTAGTAAGGGCTGGTCAACAATTATTTATTTTATACAGTTTGGTTAATTTTAGCCAAAATTAGTTGTAAATATCTGCATCAAATTTTGAAAATAACCATGAAGAACAGTGTTCTAGTTATGTTGTGGCTGACACTCAATGCAGGGGTCATGGACTTGAGTCATACTTGGGGGTCATGACCGTTTTTCCTTATCTGACACCAGTACTGGTCAGTTCCAAGAAACAGATGACACTGGTACTGGTCAACTGCAGGAAGCAGAAGTTGACAGTAGTTCAGATGCACTACAAGCTTTGAGTTCATACAAACTTGGAAACATATTTTCTGTACTGAAAATTCATAAACTTGTTATTATCACCATATCATGTGCAGTGTATGCCCTATCCCTTTGTTGTAAATATGAAAAACAACTATGCTTGAATGTTATCAAAAACCATCCAAGGGTTTTCATAATTTTGATATACTGTGAATAGCTTGTACAATTACAGGTACTCTGCGACTTAATTCTTACTAATATCAGTTTGGTATAAGCAAAGATATTGATAAAAACATATCTGAATCTGGTTAAAAAAATATGCGTGTTCTGTATCCTCAATGCAGGGGTGTGAAAATCCTATGCCCGACTTATCTGACTCAGGACTTTCTGCCTGGGGAGACTGACACTTGGCGTGTGGAGCTAAAAATTTAAATTAAAAAAAAAAAATGTATAACATAATTTGGTCAATCTGGGCACACATATCATTATATAGAATGTTTCCTCAAACTACAGAAATGATGTCTGGTCTTCATGCAGGGAAATCTGTTCACATCTAACTATGCAAGGACACTGTCACCTCTCATTAACTTTCATTTAAACATATGTCCAATGTTTTGTATTCTGTATGGGTAAGTAAAGTTAAGTTGCAGACAAGTAAAAATTTCTGTCCAACTTCTCTGTGGACAAGTGGTTTTGTTTGTTTCGTTTTACCCCTTTTCCCAACAGTATTTCAGTCATATAGGCGGGTAGTTTCCTAACCATCGTTCCTGGAGAGTTACACCAGTACTAGACTACCTTCCTCCGCGCTAAACTACCAAAGCATCTCCCGGGGATCGCACCCACGCCAGAGAGGTAACTGGATAAGAAGTCACCGACTCTAACCCCTCGACCACGGACAAGTGGTAAAAATTCATATTTCCACACCCCTGCTGAAGGTCGCATGACATTGTCAGAGGGTAATAGAAAATAAACAGACCAATTCCTACGGTTACTTACCATTTCTCAAATTAATTATGACCATGACAATTTCATAACTTGTTTTTTTTTCTTCAACTAAATCAATAATAGAAACTAAATAATGCTGACTAAGTAAACATCCAAAACAAAAACAAAATATGAAAGAAAAAAAAATATTCTTATCAAACTAGCCCTGGTAGGATAATAAATAATGTTTACGTCAAAATATGTTTTTATGCTTGGGAACATCATTACAACAACATGTGTATATATATATGTTTTTATGTTTGACTAAAATAGCCTTAAAACATCATTCCGTTGGTCAATCTGTTATGCAAATTTTGTGGGTGTGGTGTTTGTAGATTTTACTCTGGATCACAACAGAAAGCCACACTGAATTTACAAGAGCACAATTCAGCAAACGCATCGTTCCTTGGCAGACTGGCAGTTTACCAGTTTAGTTGCCTTCACTTTCGTAAGGAACTGAAACTTCTGTACATACCAGAATTACTTTTTACACTATCCCACCCCTGTGCCGAGTCCCTGTGGTGTAAAGTACTTGAATAGGTTAAAACATAAATTTAGTGCCGGCATCAGGTTTCAAAATTGCAGACAATAATACATAACCCCTTGTTTTTAATAATTTCCTCAGAGCTATCGGTTTTTATATTTTTCTATGTATATAGAGAAAATGTTTGGATATGTGTCCCTTGTTAAAGGAACTTCACTAAGGTAAAAAAACCTAAAAACTTAAATTTTAGATTCTTATATAGATCAAGTGAAGCACAGGAAATGGAAAAATCTGCAAGGGATAATAAAAAAATATGCATGGAATTGCAACGCTTTTCATTTCTCGGTTATTTTGCACATTTTAAATGATGATTTTAGAAAAAAACAGAGAGAGGAAATGATCTGAAAATGTGCACAAAAAGTAATTGGTCTTAAAGACATACATTAAATGGTACACAAATATTGAAAAAATATTTTAAGTTCTTTAAAAAAAAAAAACACAATTAAATGTATGAATGTAAATTTTTAATTGAGAACATAAAAGGCTTTGTCCTAACAATCCTCATATCAACAATCAGTAAAACTGTAATTTGAGCCGCCCCATGACAAAACCAACATAGTGTGTTTGCAACCATCATGGATCCAGACCAGCATGCGCATCCGCACAGTCTGATCAGGACCAATGCTGTTTGCTATCAGTTTCTCTACTTGTAATAGGGTTTGTAAGGGAACAGCATGAATCCTGATCAGACTGCGCAGATGCGCAGGCTGGTCTGGATTCATGCTGGTCTCAAACGCATTATGTTGGTTTTGTCATGGCGGGGCTCAATTTTGTTGTTTTTATTAAAAACTGATTGCATCATACCATCAGCTCCTGGTCTCCTGAACTTTTTATTGTACATCTTCACAGCTATAAACACAATTATAGCTACCAGAGCAAGAAGACCAATTACCAATGCAGCGATAGCGCCACCACTTAAACCTTTATCTGAATCACTAGAACTGTAACAAAATAAGATTCAATAAAATATACAACTAAAGGTAGCATAAACATAAGTACAAGTACAAATCTTGTGAACGTGAAAAGGTGATGTTTGTAGACAAGTCAGTAAAATGTTAATTTTACTGAAAAATCAAATTAAAGTATTATTTACATGAACTGTTTGAAAAACAAGAGTTATGGGTCTTGGCTGGTGATAAACAAATATGATCAACATGTATGAAGTTTCAAGTGCTCACTTTCAGTGATTGTGGTTAAATGAAATAACAAAATTCAGTAAAGGGCCCTTTTCAAGCAGTTATGGTCCTTGTGAAATGACCTACAATTACGTAGATGTACTGGAATTCAGCAGAAAATAAAGATGTATAGTTGCATGCAAGACCCTAAGCAATGAATGTAAAGTTTCTTGCTCAAGGAAACAACGGCTTGCCCCTGACAGGGTTTGAATCCATGTGGTCACCAATCCATAGATTACTAGTTTGACCCGTAAACCACCCAGCCATGTCGCCAATCTTTTGTCCTGACAAGTTTTTGTATCATTATGTAAGATTATACCTTTTACCAAATGACTTCACTGCTATCGTAGTTGATCCTGTCTGAAATGGACCTGAAGCTTTAGTTTGTACATCAGTCACTCGTGTTGACATTTTTGATCCACTGACAGGATGGATTACAGATCCGCTCGTCACTGGTGCTACCACTGATGTTTGTTTTGTTGAATGAAACACAGGGGGTGTTAAATTTGTTGTTGTACTGAAAATAGAATATATGTGTTAATTTGACCTCTGACTGAGATCTTCATTTAGAAAAATAATGTAAAGTTTTTGTAAACAACCTAGCTATCATAACATGTAGAGCGTCATATCAAAACAAGGTGTTTTCATAAACAAAATAGTTATCTGTTCAAACTAAATGATATTAAATAACAAAATTTTGTTCAATTTTCATGCCCAGTATGATTGAAAATTTGACCTTTAAGTTTATTTATAGTAACGTTTGGGCCCAGGGTCACATCTTAAGTGACACAAAATGTTCAAAGTGTTAAAATATTGAACCCTTACCCCGCTAAATATCTTGTCCATCTTTAGTATGCACAAGACCAATCATCATTTTTAGGGAATTAATATCAAAATTTATTACCCTTCCAGATTTTTTCCGCCTTTTTGATTGGTTATTGATCACCCAAAAGAAATTGATATTACCGAGCCAGACGGGTAATATACACACTAAATTTCCCCGTTGGGTACCCCACGTTGTAAAAAACATGCGCTGGGGTGATGCCCGTACGGTTAGATTTTTTGCGGTGTAAATTCCGATTTACAAGCACTTTTTAACTGTCAAATGATAAATATTTACCAAAGTAAAGTAATGATACATATTCTAATCAGTATTGAAAACAAATATGACCTTGTGAAAGCTTGATATTAATTACAAAAAAGTGCGTTCAATAGACTATTCCCTTTCTCTTGTTTACATTCGTTATGTACGGGAAAAATACGTCATGTATTTATGTGACGTCATGTTGTGATGAAGGGGTACCCTAAAGGGAATCTTATTTCGACGTTTCATTTGAAACAACAATGATTTTTTAAAAAATCGTCTAAACTCGGCAGGGGAAGGGTAATAAAATTATTATTTTGGTTTTGGAGTGATATATGTGGATATATTACCTGCCAAGATAAAATATCACCCTCGCCTAATGGCTTAGCAGGTAATATATCCACATATATCACTCCAAAACCAAAATAACATATAATGTACTGACTAAATAGTGAACAGTGCAGACCATAAAAATTTCTTTGTGACAAGTGACAAGTGATCTTCGGCATTAAGTCTAATGGTTATTTATTGTTTCTCACAACTGATTCAGTAAATAGTTTGTAATTACTGGTTAGTTATTTCGGAAAGCCGGCAAGGTGGATTGACTGCCTAAAAACATGTATGCACAAAAAAGTGTCGAAATTTGTATTAAAAAAACAAAAACAAACAAACTCACTTCTGATAATTATTATAATCTTGTTTTGTTATAAATAAAACAAAATGTTACTGGTATCATACAAATGTACCTTTTATCTGAGGACGGCTGTGTTGGCGGCTTCTGTGGCGGAGAAAATGCTGAAGCAGATGTAGAAGCTACAGGTGGTTTGTTGCTAGGCAACTGATGTGGTGGTGAGAAAGGTCCATCAGTAGTAGTCAGTAATGGTTTTGGGCCACCTAAGTTTGGAAAGACAGATATATGTGTTATCTTTTCTAAACCTATAGCAAGATAAAAAATATTTTTTCCAGTATTTTGAGTACTACAAGAACAAGAAATTTTAACAATCCATTGTAAATCTAGCTGTAAACATTTCCTACATCAGATCATTCAAAAAGTGATAAATGTACTGAAATTGACAAAAATGAATAACCAAGGTTGAGCAATACTTTAACTTAATATAGTTTTCTGCTCTAACTTTTTTATATATATATTCTAAGACTGTTAAAATAACATGGTATTTGGACGTAAATAATTCTGGACAAAATATAAGAGAAAGAAACATTTAAGCTCAGAACAAACTTCATGATATGAATATTCAAATATTCATGTATTCAAATATGTAAAACTAATGAATGAATATCAAAATCCTCAAAAATTCGTCCAGCCCTTGTTATACTTCAAAGTTTGTTGAAAATTTTACATATTTAAATCAAGGGTATCATGTGATAAATTTAGGTAACTACTCACCAGTGGTAGATGGTACTGGAGGTCTTGGTGGAGATTTTGTAGGGAAATACCTGGATATATTCACCGATTTCAGTTCATCATCATCTTTCCAGATGCATGTTGGGTAATTATCAGAACTGGCTTTACAATGTTCAAGTCCATCGCATACATCTAAATCCTCTCTAAAGTAAAAGTTAAACATAAGAAAACAAATCATGTTTTTTTTACACCTTTAAGACTGCAGTTTTATATCTCTGAAAACAAGTGGTGATAATGAATTTTATTATATATCTGTATATATTTTTCTATATTTAGACAGTTTTTTATTTGTTTGGGTCGTCAGACCAAACAAATAATGGTAGCGAAATTTCAGACTCTAATGCTGTTAATTGCAAAAGCTGAAAGTAGTCCGCTTTTTTGAAGTGGTTACTTCCCTTTATATGTACATTAACGCCGAAAAATTCAGGGGAGATCACTGCGTAAAGATGGTCAAATGACAGGCGCATTAATTTTCAAGCAAAATAATTCCCGAATGGTCGAAGATTTCTTATATTGTTTTATTCTATATAGATATACATGCTTATAGTAAGCTCAATGATCATTTACATCTGTGTTAAACAACAGTAAGCGTCGTTACAAACCCTAATTTAGAATAATATGGTTTTCTTCAGGCCATTTACATTCAATTCACTGTGGCTGAGGCGTTTGCGCGCTCGCTTAGGAAGCGAGAGGTCTGGAGTTCAAATCCCATTTAAGGCAACTCATTTTTTTCAAATTGTTAAGTCAAATAAACATTGGATTGAATATCAGTGTTGCAATTAGTCTTATAGCCAATTTACTACAATTGAAACGCTGGAAAGCATTGGTGGCACTATACAAAAACAAATTGGTTTATAATCTCACAACCTGCACCTTTCTTACATTCTGAGACCCAAACAAATTCAGCGCCTTCTGTGCTTTGATTAGTACATGTACCACATGCACAGATCCTCTTTAGTTAAACATAGTAAACAAATCATGTTTTTTTCCCATCTTTAAGACTGCGGTTTTGTATCTTTGAATACAAGTGGTGATAATGAATTTATTATATATCCTTGCATGTATATATTTTCAATATTTAATGCACGTATCATATGCATAAATATGACCCAACAGAAGAAAGGGAATCCATTACACTTTAGTGAGACCCCAAAATGACGTTGCTGGTATTCAGAAAATTCATAGGTTGAAGATAAATAAACTCATAAAACATTTATTTTCTAGCCACTAAATTTGAAAAAAAATTCCGTATTTATAAAAAAACTTGGATATCATCTATATATCTGCTAATCAAATTCCTTATAGTACTAATTAAAAGCACTGACCAATTTCTAGGCCATCAGTATAGGACCAGGCCAGATTTTTATTTACACCTTTGTAGCCTTTTAAGTTTCCATATTGTTCACTGCTCATTTTTTTCATTTAAATATTGAAATCCCTTCAAGTCTCATTGAACAGTTTTGAATTCTTAACAACAAATACAAATTCAACAATGATAAGGAGAAGGACCATCAGATCTATTGCTGAATGCAATTTGTGCTCCCACTTATGTCCTTGAAAGCTGTTGGCTATGTTTTAAAGTGAAAAAATTTGGAGGCTTGAAAATTTAGGCTCCTGATGGTTTGATAAGCAATCAAACTTGCATGATTACACAAAGTATTGGCCACCTTCACTAATTGTAAAGTCTTGGTCAGCTAAGTAATACTTACATGGCTACACAAGGTATTGGGCACCTGTCACTAATTGTAAAGTCTTGGTCAGCTAAGTAATACTTACATGGCTACACAAGGTATTGGGCACCTGTCAATATTTGTCATTGGTGAAGGAGAACTTGGAGCAAATTCTGTTCGATAATTTGGTGGATCTAGAAAATCAAAGTATATATATTAAAGAATATATATTCGTCACATAGAATATTTTCTTCAAAAATTAATATATTTAACTATAACCTGCTGGAACCTTAAATGATTTAAGCTTTTACCACCAGTAGAGAGCCAGGCCAGCCAGTACATCTGTCCATTTGACCAGGCTCAAATGAATATCTTCTGATATTGAAACCCCCATAATTTTTTAATGGATTGTTCCAAATTCAAAGAACAGCCGGTCAGATTCATTACAAAAATTCAGCTGGCACAGGTTTAATTATCATCTTTTTGTAAACAACCAATGAACTGGTATCTACTACTTAATTTTTATAAAACTTAATGCAGAAAAACTAAAGAATCTATCTTGTAAATCGTGAAAGGAGGAAATATCATTAAGTTTTATAATGAGAGAATCAAGATGGTTCTATAACTGCCTCTCCATTTAGTGAAACTAGTCATACAGTTAAACCTGTGTTAAAGATCACCTTGTGAATAAAGACCGCTCTTTGACAAAGCCTTATTGATTAAGAAGAGTAGAGTAACCTCTAAATAAAGAACACTTGTCTATAAAGGTCATGCTTGGTATCTCCTTTGAATGGCCTTTGTTCACAGATTTGACTGTATTACTGTATATGGAAAAATCAGGAAATAAGAGTAAAACATTTACTACACTTACAGAAGCAGGACCTAGTTGGGAAATTGTTTAAATGTGTATTAAACTGTCCATGGCAAGTGTCCAAATCTGTATCACAATAGCACTGGCACTGGCAACTGGTTAAAGTTTGGTTCACCTCACAAACTGTACATCTTGGAATCGAAAGCTGATACACAGGGTTCAAGATGGCAGGTTGACAGTTTGAACATTGCTGAAAAAGGAAATTAAAGCCTTTTCTTCATAATAATCAGTGCTTTTGAACACCAAATCAGGTTTCTTCTTTCAGTCTGACACACAACTATGTGGTTATTTTCCTATACAGTGAAATACCTATACAGTGAACCAGTCATTTTCCAAACCATACAAATTGCCTGGTACAGTTTTATCTTAGTAACTAGAAAAAGTTGTCAGTCCCCTTAAAAATTATATGTATGTACAGTATAAAATTACTTTTCTAACTTTTCTTTGATGTTTTTCTTGTAATTCTAGAAAGAGCAGATCGACCTGTGTACATTAAGGAATTCAAACAGGATTTCTATTATTTCCTGGAACTATCACTTCATCCTGAATCCTGGAGTGAAGGCCACTGGTGGTAAACAGTACAGGTTGTATATAATATATTAACATAGGTATTAGCGATAACAAAATAACATTATATAATATAAATGTAATGTCTAGGTGTGTACATTATATAGATGGGAGCAAGTGTTAATTTTGTCCACTATGGGGAATGTGCCAAAAAATGTGTAATAAAAAAGGATTGATCAGTATTTCATAACAAATAACAAATATCTAAATGATATTTTTCCTTGTAAACAACTTCAACAACATAAGAATAATTATTCTACTTTTTTTAATTAATCTTATTTTTAATACATGTGCATTAATACTGTATTGCACCATATCTAAAATGGAACAATTACAGCAGTGTCTAAAAAACACACATGGTTAAGCTTAATCTAATATATAAATTTAATCTAGCAGTCTCTAGACAGACTAATTCACACAGTCTCTCATGAACAGACTCTATAAAGCAGTAATTCAAATAAAGCAGTACATCATGAACATGCTCATTCACACAGACTCAGACAAGCAATATCCCATGAACAGACTTATTTAAGCAATATCCCATGAACAGATTCAATTTAGAGGTATCCCATGAAAAGACCCAATTAAGAAGTATCTCACAAACAGACTCAATCAAGCAGTATCCAATGAATATACACAATCTAGCAGTATCCCAAGAACAGACACAATCAAGCAGTATCCAATGAACAGACTCAATCTAGCAGTATCCCAAGAACAGACTCAATCAAGCAGTATCCCATGAACAGACTCAATCAAGTAGTATCCCATTAACAGATTCAATTAAGCAGTATCCCATGAACAGACACAATCAAGCAGTATCTCATGAACAGACTCAATCAAGCAGTATCCCATTTAAAGACACAATCAAGCATTATCCCATGAATAGACTCAATCAAGCAGTATCCCATGAACAGACACAATCAAGCAGTATCCCATTAAAAGACACAAAAAATCAAGGCATATCCCATGAATAGACTCAATCAAGCAGTATCCAATGAACAGAACACAATCAAGCAGCATCCCAGGAACAGACACAATCAAGCAGTATCCCATGAATAGACTCAATCAAGCAGTATCAAATGAACAGACTCAATCAAGCAGTAACCCATGAACAGACACAATCAAGCAGTATCCCATTTAAAGACACAATCAAGCATTATCCCATGAATAGACTCAATCAAGCAGTATCCCATGAACAGACACAATCAAGCAGTATCCCATTAAAAGACACAATCAAGCATTATCCCATGAATAAACTCAATCAAGCGGTATCCAATGAACAGACACAATCAAGCAGTATCCCAGGAACAGACACAATCAAGCAGTATCCCATGAATAGACTCAATCAAGCAGTATCAAATGAACAGACTCAATCAAGCAGTAACCCATGAACAGACACAATCAAACAGTATCCCATGAACAGACTCAATGAAACAGCATCCCATCAAGCAGTATCCCAGGAACAGACTCAATCAAGCAGTACCCCATGAACAAACTCAATCAAGCAGTATCCTATGAACATACACAATCAAGCAGTATCCCAGAAACAGACTCAATCAAGCAGTATGCCATTAAAAGACAAAATCAAGCATTATCCCATGAATAGACTCAATCAAGCAGTATCCAATGAACAGACACAATCAAGCAGTATCCCAGGAACAGACACAATCAAGCAGTATCCCATGAATAGACTCAATCAAGCAGTATCCAATGAACAGACTCAATCAAGCAGTATCCCATGAACAGACACAATCAAACAGTATCCCATGAACAGACTCAATGAAACAGTATCCCATCAAGCAGTATCCCAGGAACAGACTCAATCAAGCAGTATGCCATGAACAGACTCAATCAAGCAGTATCCCATCAAGCAGTATCCTAGGAACAGACTCAATCAAGCAGTATCCCATGAACAAACTCAATCAAGCAGTATCCTATGAACATACACAATCAAGCAGTATCCCAGAAACAGACTCAATCAAGCAGTATCCCAGGTACAGACTCAATCAAGCAGTATCCAATGGACAAACTCAATCAAGAAGTATCTAATGAACAGACTCAATAAAGAAGTATCAAATGAACAGACTCAATCAAGCAGTATCCCAGGAACAGATTCAATCAAGCAGAAGTCCATTTAAAGATTCAAACAAGCAGTATCCAAGGAACAGACACAATCAGGCAATATCCAATGAACAGACTCAATCAAGCTGTATCCCAGGAATAGATTCAATTAAGCAGTATTAAATGAACAGATTCATACAAACTGTATCCTATGATTAGACTCAATCAAGCAGTCTCCCAGGAACAGGCGCAATCAAACAGAGGTAAAAATAAGCAAACACAGCCCCTAGTGCATTAGTAACACTGTAGAAAATGGTGACAAATACTGGAAAATCAGACCTTAATCATACTTAACATGTTAATAATTACTTGAATCTTAAATCTTTTTAATTTTCTAAAATTTTAAGTACATTTTTCTCAAGTTTATTTTTGTCAACATATTTTGGCTCATCTGGAGGCATGCAGCTTTAATTAGACAATACAACAATGTCATTAGTTTTAATCTGTGATAATTCTATATTAAGGTAATTAATATCATTTTTTATTATATTTAATTAATGTCTATTAATGATACGTTAATCTGTATTATTTGGATTTATATTAAGGCATTTCTACTTTAAATCTTTAATATAATAAATAAACAGTGTGGTGTTTCATGCTTAATTTGATATTGTTTTTGAAGTTTCCCGATATTTTCAATAACCAATTCCTATAGAATAACATGGTCAATCCCTAAAAATTCAGTCAAAAAAACCAATAAAACAAACTGGAATACTGAGATGCTAATTAACACCTGTAACAAACAATGATATATAGAGGATATTTGTTTAGTTCTGTGTAAGATCGGAATATATTTCACCAAGTGAGCACCAAAAGGTATATTTCACAAGTGGCGCAGCCACGAGTGAAATATGAACTTTTGGTGTTCACAAATTATTCTTTTTATTATATGCAAAGAAATGTTTTAACAAGACATTACACCTAGCACTGAATGAAAAGCGCACCAAATAATAATACAACGTGATGTCATTTACGACGTCACGTCATTAAGTTGGTTCCCAGTACTGTGCACGCTGGTATTTCACTGAAACAACATAAGGGGCTTAAATTCAAAACAGTGAAATTATCAAATTGATAATTTCACTGTTTAAAACAGTGAAATTACCAGTTTTATATCACTGAAATATTTCTATAAACCACCGAAAAGCATGTAATAAAAACAATTACTTCACAACATAACAAGAAATATCACTAAAGGCCGTGGACGCTTTCCAAAACTGCCATATATTGGTCAATACATAAAGGCAGTAAGTGCGAAAGGCAAATATCTATTGTAAGCAATAATGACCTCAACCCAAGTTGACAGAAAACAAGAGCTGTCAGTGGGACAGCATGCTCGACTTTTCTCAGTGCTTGATTATATAACAAGAGCATGGATAATGTAGATTTTTCAAAAAGGGCAATAATTCTGTCAAAATCCATGTTAGATTTATGGGCCTTTGACATTTACCTCTTATTTTGCTCTCAAATAAGTGTGTGAAGTTTCAACCAATTCCTTTCAGTAAATTTACAGTAGAGATAACAACTTGCACACAAAGGAAATTCCTTGACCAAAATGTTACGCTGATGCTGGTGTTAATGCCAATGCCAGATTGAATGGGATCTCCCCACTACTTTTTTCCCTTATCATTTACATGAATAATACAACATACCTTGTAACTAGAGTCCTGACATTTAAATTTCTCACGATTTCTTAAGACCAGTACAAATAAGTTAGTGTCCTTGACCTGGGAAAGGCTGAATTGCTGGCATGGGTCATTTGAGTTCAAGGTTATATTGTCTGTCAAGGTCATGATCATTTTATGATAGCCATCAGAAAATCCTGTACACCATTCTTGCTGTAAAATAAAGAACATTTAACAATTCTTTCATCAACCTTTTATATATTCACAGTTCTATCAAATATTCAAAGAGTGCGGCAACAATAATTTTTCAAATGTTTTTGCCTTTCGACTATGTCTGACTGGTGCTTATAATATATTCCATAAAATCACAATATTAAAAATGTGATTTTACATCCGCAAAAAAGACAGCTCATTCCGCAAAAAGCTGAACTATGTGAAAAAAGTCCAACAAAAATAAAATGCACAGAATGTGTAAGAGTGATGCCACAAGTCTGCAAAAAGTCAAACTTAAGATAAATATCAAACTTAAGATAAATATATTAACTATTTCAAATTTGAAAGACTTTAATATTTCTAAAATGTTTAGTTACTTATAAAATTGAGAAAAAAAATCCTGCATATTTCCGTAAGTAATATATATAATCAGTTCAATGAAAACAAACACTTTTCTTAAGCTTCCCATGTTTAGTCTTTTTCTTTCCAGTAAGATTAAATTCTGTGGATAGGTCTAACATTCAATCACTTGATTAAATTTTGTATACATGACAACATTTTTACTTGTATGAACTTTGTTTTTAAATGACCTGTAAGTGTGACTCTGACCTTTGATCTAGAAACCTGGTTCATGCGCATGACACTGCTTCTCATAGTGGAGAACATTTCTATTAGGTTTCATTAGAATCCCTCCATATGTGTCCCTCCATATGTGTAGGAGATATGCTCTGGACAAAATCTCTATATTTTATCATTGTAAGTGACCTTGACCTTGCATATACTAACCTTAACTACATGTTTCACACTCATAGTCATGATAATGACAATTTGTGTTTCAATCGCTCCATAAATGATGACTAAATGGTCAGAATACAGATTTTCATATTTTTATCTGAACTTTGAACCCTATGTGCGACCTTGACCTTGGCCACAGGGATCTAAATTTTGCATGCGATACTCAACCTCACAATGGTAAACATTTGTGCCAAGTTATATTGAAATCCCTCAATGTATGTAGTAGTTTTGCTCCAGACATACGTTTTTCAATGACCTCTAAGTGTGACCTTGACCTTTGACCTAGAGACCTGGTTTATGTACGCGACACAGCTTCTAATAGTGATGAACATTCCATAAAATTTCATTAATATTCCTCTATTTGGTAGGAGATATGCTCCAGACAAAATAGTGGATGCCACCCCCCATCAGGTAAATATCAACCTGTCATTAAATTCTTCTCTTGCATGATTTACTAATATTTCTTCACATGAAATGTCTGAAATTTTCAATTCACTAAATTTTTGACACGCAGAAATATCCACATATACATTACTTTTGGTTCAAGCAGGCTAAGGATCAGGTTCTGCTAACAACCCCTTTTATTTTGTAAATTATTATCAAACTAGCAGCTAATAATTACTTAGATAAAATAATTTCAAAATGTACACCTTCATTTCTTTCCTTGTTACAAGTTCATGTGTTATCCATGGAAACAACTTTGTTAAGTGTCCATTTGTGTTCGGATTGAGTGCATCAAACACCCTCCTGTAACAAGATAGAAACAAGAAATCTGAATCTGTCGCTACCTTATTTTACATACTGATCTAATTCTAATATGTATTTTAACGCTTACCATTCTAAATATCTTAAATGGAGTTGTCTATCTTTAAATCTGGACTAAACCATTCATTACTTTAGGGGAAAATTTCAAAATAAGTACTTATCAAATAGCAATCAGTGTAGACCATGATAAGACAGCACAGAAGTGCAGACTGATCTTGATGCACACTGGTTGCCTAGGTAAAATCAGTTGCCACTAGTAGAATAAAGGTGAAAGGTCAAAATCAAAATGCTAAAGCTTTAGCACTTACGAGTGTTGCAAGAGTGAGTATGGTACTTCAGACACATGCATTTAGAAGCAGATGTATCAATAGCATTGGACATGTTTGAATCACCAGGTGATGAAATTTCTTAAAGCTGTCCATGCTCGACTATTCTCAGGGCATGAGAGTAAGAAAAGGGCCATAACTCTGTAAAAAGGGTAATTATGGGACCTGTGACCATCATGTTAGATAATCACAGAGAACAAGTGTGAAGTTTCAATTCAATCCCTTCAGTAGTTTTTGAGATTGCAACTTTAACACACCCAAAACTTAATTGACTGAGACACCAAGGTTAGAATAAAAATTCTCCCTTTTTTTCTAATATTCAATCTTAAAAGGCTTTTTACTGATAAATAAGCTTAATAACTTGTTCTCACATTTCTATGATTAAGTTCAATTTCTAAATAGAAAAAAAAAAAAAAGAAACTGAGTGTCTAGCATTTTCAGGTTTCATTTGCCTTTTATCCTTTAATTCAAACAATGAATCAATTTTATACCCCAAAAATTATGAAAATTCAGAATTTATAATTTTACAACAATCTTACCCAGTACTGTCAACAATGTGACACTCGTGGTTACCCCCTGAACATTCTTGCACCTGTGAACAAATTAAACAAAACAACAATAAGCAATACAGAATAATGATCACTTTAGTGGTTAACCCCTTAGTAATGATCCTCCATACATTTTCATTCAGTACATACAAATTGACTGAGGTGTTTAAAGAAACTCCACTGAGGTCCAAAATTCTAAAAACATAACATATGAATTTTGTACATGGCTTGGGCACTTAAAACAGATATGCAAAAGATAATTAAGAAACACTCAAAAATAAATTGAAAATTGTGTTTCATTTTCCACCCTGGATGGAATAAAATATTTAATATCACTGGGGTGGTCCGGGGTGATCTGGTAAGTATAGCTTTGTCGGCTTCATCCTTAGCTTTACCAGGAACGACCGGGGTTACACCTGAGAAGCACTGTAGCTCTGTTGGCACAAACCAGGTATGATATAGCCGTCAGAGCTACGGTAGAGCCCCGTGAATGCCGGCAGAGCCTGGTGAATGCCAGCAGAGCCCTGAAGGATGCCAGCAGAGCCCTGGAGGATGATGATGGAGCTACAGTTGATCCCAGTAGAGCACTGGCAAAGCCCGTTCATTTCAAAAGAATCACGACAATTTGCGATGATTGCACTTGTTTGCATTAAAACCCTTCCCCATTTCCCTTCTGTCCAGTCTTGCATAAGGATTATTCAGAAAATCATCATGAATTACTGTTCTGGAACAATAGATATTATATAAAATGAACATTATGTATCAACGTAATCATTTTCACACGGTTTAAATTAATGTCTGGGAACGACTGGAAACACCGGCATGAACCGTAGCTTCACCTGGGCTCTGCCTGAATGGTCAGGAGCGCATCCTGGGTGGTTAGTTGGGAATTACCGTAGTGCTGCCGGGGTAAGTGTGACCGCAACAATAATTTCACCCCGGATCGTCCCAGATTATCCCATTTACCTACCGGGGTGGTCCTGGGCTCTGCCGGGAGTAAGTGAGACAGCAGCTTAAGAACCTGTAGCTCATTCTGCTTTAACCCTTTACATACCAAATATCTAACAGAATATAGCATAGCCAAATGTTGAAAATTGTGAAATATCGGCAGATGATTGTGTTCATAACATGTTTGTCATAAAATCTTCAATGTTTAACTAATGAACCATTCTATTTACGTTAATTTGGGATTTTTTTTTAAAGATTTTAACGTATGATTTGGTCATATCATAGTGTTCAAATCTCCTTACCATTCCTGGAAAACTAACCAGTAATTACAATTTTTTCTGTAAGTGATCGGCTACTTATCCCACATGATTTTAAAATCAGGAGTAACTGAAAATGACAACATTTGTATATGATTCAATGTCAAAGATCAATTTCACAGAGAAACTTCACCTTGTCCCAAGGATCATACCATTGTCCGCTTCATTATTAATGTGATGCTCACCTTATTGAGGATAGCAGGCAGACTGTCACTCAATGAAAAGCATCACAGAGTACAAAATATATGGTGTTTCATCAAAATATTGTATGTCTTCTTAACCAGAAAAACAAGAGGGCCATGATGGCCCTGAGGTCGCTCACCTGTATATAGCCCCCCCAACGTTGCAGGGCCAATTTAACCCAAGGGCTTTTATTTGCACAAACTTGGTAGACACCCATAAGAAGATGTTTCATGCTAAACAACTAAGCTCTAGCTAATTGGGCTTTTTAAAAGAAGATTTTTTTTAAGTTTTTACTATACACATATGGTTAAAAACAATGACACCCTTGGGGCCGCTATACACAACATATAAAGAAAATCAATGACCCCCTGGGCGGGGCCAATTTTGACCCCAGGTCTTTTATTTGAACAAACTTTGTAGACACTCACTAAAAGATGTTTCATGCTTAATATCTTAACTCTAGCTATTTGGGTTTTTTCAAAGAAGATTTTTTAAGTTTTTGCTATACACATATAACGAAAATCAATGACCCCCGGGGCGGGGCCAATTTTGACCCCAGGGCTTTTATTTGAACAAACTTGGTTGACACCTATTAGAACATGTTTGATGCTCAATATCTTAGCCATAGCTCTTTGAGTTCTTTAAAAGAAGATTTTTTAACTTTTTACTATATGCATATAAGGAAAATCAATGACCCCCCGGGGCGGGGCCAATTTTGACCCAGGGCTTTTTATTTGAACAAACTTGGTAGACACCTATTAGAACATGTTTCATGCTAAATATCTTAGCTCTAGCTCTTTGGGTTCTTTAAAAGAAGATTTTTTAAGTTTTTTACTATATGCATATAGGGAAAATCAATGACCCCTGGGCAGGGCCAATTTTGACCCCAGGGCTTTTATTTGAACAAACTTGGTAGACACTCACTAGAAGATGTTTTCATGCCAAAAAATCTAAGCTCTAGCTCTTATGGTTTTTAAAAAGAAGATATTTAAAGTTTTTTCTTTCGGTTGCCATGGCAACCAGAGTTCTGCATGGAATTAAATTCTTTGAACAATTTTTAAAAGGTGACCACCAAAGGAACATTCCTGTGAAGTTTGGATGAAATTGGCTTAGTGGTTTAATGAGGAGATGTCATTTAAAGTAAAAGTTTACGGACTGGACGACGGACGGACGACGGACGGACGACGGACGAAAAGCGATCACAAAAGCTCACCCTGTCACTTTGTGACAGGTGAGCTAATAAGAGTGAAATTAAGGGAAATGGAATTTTGAAAAGTAGTTTAATGCAGCCATAATGCAGTATATCATAATGTCTACCCTTAAAATGATACCACATAGACGTAAATGTTGAAACATACTGTTGGTTTTTTCACTTGCCAGATTGTTAAGTTACTGAGTAAAAAGATGAGACTTTTCCTGTACTTAAAACATTTTGTGGGTAATTATGAAAATAAATAACTACCACTGCAAATTGGTTCAGACAGTGCATTTCTCAGTTCTACCAAAAGTGAAGGTCAGAGAGTACAAACATTCTGTCTTTTTATAATCAATTTTTCACAATGAATATCTATAATTTTTTTTTTTGTTTGTGCAAATTTGTGTTTGAATGTTTTGGGGGGGAATTTCTCTTTTAATTGTAAAGTTAAACCATTAAAAAACACAACAAACATGGGTTAACAATAAAAACGCCCCATTTTTCACTCCAGAATATTTCCGGGACAAAGGGTACATTTTTTTCAAAAATTTTAATGTATTGAGGGTTAATACTTGAGCTAAGAGGGTGCTTTGGGGGGTGAGACATCAAAACCGAGTCTCAATTTTTACTCTTACATTATGTTTTTTTGCTCAAGGATGATTTTTAAACGGGTAAAAACTTACTTTAATTTCTTAAGGAAAAAAAAAAATACATTACAGAAAGCAGCTTGACTTTAGGAATCTGGGGGTTTACGGGCACCCTACCACCCTTAGCAAAAAAAAATCTCTTTGATCTGAAATATAAAATTAAACAAAAAGTTTTGAACAAAGAAATAGTTTTTTTATATAATAAAACAGCTTTTATAGGCTATCACCATCTGCCATTGCATAACGACGGAAATCATTATTTTCAGCTTGTCTACTGTTTCCATAATTTGCCCCTTTCCATTGGCATGCTAATCCCTATTGTTCTTAAACATGAAAAACGGTAACTAAAATAGACTAAATTTGACTCTTAATAATGTACACTCACACAAAGTTTTTCAGAATAATAACAACAAATTTGGCGTGACGTCACGTAAAAGTCTCGCGTCTTTAAGGGATTTCAGAAAAATCTATTTTTAGAAGAAAAACCGGTGAATATACTCTGAAAATCTATTTTTAGGAAAAAAACAGTGAATATACTCTGATATTGACCTGTTATTTTTTACAAAAAGTTGCTTGTTAGCCAATCAGGAAAAGGCATTTCAAAGCTATTTATAGATAATATAATAATATTATTTATCACATAAACTTTGGCACAGGGGTATAAAAAACCATAAAATTAACGTGGGTAACTGATCATGTAGATAATGTAGTATGTACTGAAAAATATCATGGGTAACCAACGATAATTTGAGCAAAGTTTGAAGAAAGTCTTTCAAGAACTAGAAAATTTATAGTGCAGACACAAAATTGTCTGACATTTGATCTATAAGTGTGACCTTAACCTTGACTCAGCACAAAGGTTGCATAGGTTCTGCACATTTACTTGTTGAGGTGAACATCATCGTAAAATTAGAAGCAAATCCTTCATGAAAGTAAAAAAGATTTAATGTGGCGGACAAAAATAATGCTTGTTTGTTGGTCACACCTACACTGTAATGGTCATAAGGCAAATTTTCAAGATTTATTCAGAGGTGGAAAGACGTCGTGTTTAAACCTACATTGCATTATTTCAGGCCACCATTCAGCACCTGTATACAACCTCCCCAACCTACCATACGCTAGCGAGTGGATAACTTCCTCACATGAAAGAATCCAAAAGTCCCTGACAGGATGAAAAACCCACAGTAGTGAGGGGCAAGGGATTTGTAATCAATGACCTTTCAATGAAGACACAAAATTGTCTGTGACTTGGGCAATATATTCACCTCCTAGATTGAACTTTGTCTTTTATCCATTGAAGGTGGAATGGATTTTTAACATTGTCCTTGTTAAAGTGGACATTTGAGTAAAGTTTAAAGCGTTTTAAGCCTATTTAATATATTTGTTACTATATAAAGTAAATAAATTGCTTATGACTTCCACTAATTATGAGTGTCACATGACCGCAATAGAGAAGTTTAGGACTTGATCTGCTGAATTTTCTTGTGACCCTCAACAAACACTTTTAATTAAGTTAATATAGATTTCTGTTTTCAGAAATATATAAGTAACTGTAAATTTACACTTTTTCTAACAAGCAGTAAAAATGGGGTATATAACTCTGTCAAAATATTATAAGGAGTTATGGAACTTTGCTTTAAGTCAGCCATCACAACAATAACTATACTAATATGAAATATGAGACCGGAGGCGAATGATTGTAATAAAGCGGCCTTTCTACACACAACTTTAAGTACATTAAAGCCATGCTTTTATAAACAACAAAACAGGAAAGTAAATAATAATCAAAATTTGAACATGTCACAAACAACAGTAAAGGCAATAAGTACATAAAAACAGGTTCATCAAGTACATAAAAATAATGTATTATGAAAGCATGCTGGCCAACTGCTTCGATTGTCTGTTGAGTGCATATATATTCCTGTTCAATCTTTCTGTGGAAAAACAGCTGTCCCGCTTATATACCCACCATCCCAATGTTATATAAGTTTTACTGTTTTTAATTTCCATGACTTTAATTTTCATGGCACATTTAAGAACAGCATTTTTGTTCTAAAAAAGATGAAACAAAAACCTGTGTTTGATAAACACATGATATTCTGAATACATAGAAAACAAACATGTATAGGTTTTATCTGTATAGTTCAATGAGTGTGACAAAAAATGATTTGTCAAAAGGTTAAAAAGTGCTGGAAAACAAATTGTAAATGACGAACATATTCAATGGAGCACCCTGATGGCAAAAAGTGATAATAGTGTTAAGTGTAAGTGTTTTGCATAAAAATGTCATCAAGGTCGTTTTGGTTCTGAAACTATACATGTACATGTTTATATATACTGACTTAAAACCACTGCCTCACACAATTGTGGGTTTAAATCCAAACAGGGACTTTGGATGCTTTCATGTGAGGAAGCAATCCAGCTAGCTTTCGGATTGTTGGTGGTTCTACTCAGGTGTTGTTAAGTAACAACAAGAACAGCATGATGGATCCTCATTTGATCATCAAAACTTGAATAATGGCTGAATGCAATTCATACCCATACCCCATACCCCCATCCCCTTCCAATGTTCTTGATAGGTGAAAAGGGGAATAACTTTTGTGGCAGAATAAAACATGCCAAAGGAAATTGTCTCAAATGAAAATAAAGACAACATTGTACAGTTTAAATATAAGTTCAATTGTCAAATCAAGTTTGGAAACAGTCTACAATAACTTTTGTTTGTGCCAGTTAACTATAACAAAAGCAATGAAGTTTAGAAAGGGAAACAACTATGTAATAAATGCAATTAAGAGTAGCAACCCTTGGCCTGCTGAGTTTGCTTTAAAAACATTCCCGTATATAGAAATTTCAAGTGTGTATCTTTTCTGGTTTTCAAAGATATTATGCAAAGATATTTTCTAAGTTAAACAGATACAGGTGGCATGTATATCAAAACAAAGCAAGACTTCTGATAGGCCATCTTGTAACAGTAAATTTTAAGTTTGAAATGAATATCAGTTCTGATTTCAGAGATATTAAAGAATTAATATAGATTTTCTATAAATATTATAAGAGGGTAATCTTCTGTTTAAACTTAAATTAATACAGATTTGTAGAACTGATATAATTGGGGAGAAACAAGACAAAAATAGCTACCCCACAGCTCTGCTGACGATGATTACATTGTTCCTATTCACTATGCCCAGCTTCCCATAGTGATACATTGTTGTATTTGGAAATGCCACACTCCTTTTGTACCTGCAACAGAACAAATAGAAAGTTTAAATACACAAATTCTGCATGCTCATTTGGGTCAAACATTAACAAGGGCTGCCAGATGGACAAAGGGCTTGACAAGGCTTGACTATTCTCAGTGCTTGAAAAGAACCAAACTATCTAACATTCATGTTGGAATATTAAAAGTGCACAAATAAGAATTAACCACTGAAAAATCAATCAGAGTTTGAGTTACGGGTCTTGGACAGTTTCCTACATTAATTTATGACCCAGAGTACTTTTTATGAAGTTTGAAATGAATACTATTCGTAGTTGAGGTAAGGTGATTCACAAATTTAGATGTGTATCAGTTCACAAAAAATGATCCCAAAACTATGTGTGCAGAATACATAATATTTAATAATTGTCAATATAATTTATTCTTAGTTTTCTTAGTTCTTTCAAATTCAAGGTAAGAGGTATATATGTCTTATACACTGACCTCCTATTAAGCTCTTAGATAAGTTAGTGAAGTTTCAGTCTATAAACTTGCATGCAAAAATATAAACAGTGTGAAGCCGACACTTGGGTGAGTACAAAAAAGAAAAGCTTGTAAACTTACCGAATGTCTACTTGCGTAAACAGACAATTGCCCCCGGAAAGTTGCCCCCCAAGACTTTTGTCCTAGACAACAAGCAGCCTATGGATGAACATGCCCTATATTTTCTCTCTTTTTTTTTTTTATTGCAAAATTATTAATATATTCACCTTATAATATTTCACCAAATCAAATTCAGACTGAGAGTGTGACTAAAATTTCTTTTAAATTCACTCACCAATCAGATTCTCTGTGATCAAATGTGGTAACCATTGGCGACCCTGGATATATTCTAAACACACCGTTAGTTGAGCCGTAGAATCTGAAATAAATGACATGACTGTAACTACACAAAGTATGTAACATACAACACAAGCTCAAATCAACTAAAAACCTCTCTTCAATACATAATACAATATAATTAATTGAATTGTCATCACATCAAGAGTTACGATACATTTATGATGCTTATTTTTGCACTGTCGAGTTGAATTAGTAATGAGGGACTGACGAATGATAATTTTGTAGACTATGGTTAGTTATATAAGTCAAGTCTTTTTTCTGTTTGTTGTTTTTGAATAATATTGATAAATAATCAAGTACCGAATCTTTCAGGGTACTTGATTAACGTAATAATTTCATAAAAAAGCTTTTTTTTTCAGAAAAATTTCAGGGATAATTTCACAAAACGAATTTTTGAGAGAAAAAAACTTATAAGGAAGAACCTCTCTATGACTTCCTTAGCACTGCTGGTCCATTTAGAATCTAATCCGTCTGTTGACATGAGTGTATGTAGAATAAGATCTGTTAAACCTGAAAATTAAAGGAAACATTCTATATAGGTCTCAAAAACTGACAATTACAAAATGTTTTATATAATTATTAAAGAGACATTATGCCCATCCAAAGGAGTGAGAGAACAGATGAAAGTCAAAAAAGTTTGTTTGTTTGTATGGATTTTATGTCACACCAACACAGTATAGGTCATTTGGCGATGTTCCATCTTTACTGGTGGAGGAAGACCTCAAGTGCCCTTCCGTGCATTTTTTCAGGCACAAACAGGCACCTGAGTAGAACCAACCATGTACTGTAAGCTAGCTGGATAGCTTCTTCACATGAAAGAATCCAAAGTCCCTGTCGGGATTTGAACCCTCAGTGGCAAGGGGCGAGTGGTTTGAAGTCAACAACTTTAACCATTCGGCCACGGACGCCCCCTCAAGAAAGTTTACATTTTCAATTTTATAATTTACTTCACATGAACGATGAATGACTCACCTGGTTCAAGGATATATCTGTAAAATTTGAAATTGGAATTTACCTGTTACGTTCAATTTATAAAAAGAGTAGGGCAGTCTTTTCATATTTTTAGGCAGATTTATATTTTATCACATCCACTGTAGGGTGTCAATCACCATTTTTCAACAGTCACTCTTTTGAAATAAATACTTAATTCGATCAACTTGACAATGCAAAAAGAAATAAGCATTATTTTGTTACCAGAAAAAGAGAAAAACAACACATGGTACATTTATAAAATGTTTACTATTTAGAAAATAAATTCAAGTTTGTATTTATGTTTTGGGAAATTATGGCCACTCGAGAAAAACAACGTGGATAACCAACGTGGTTTTAGTTTGGGAAAAAACGTATGCCGACCGGAAGGAGGCTAGAACGAAAATGTTAGTCATATTAATTGACCAACAGATTGCCAAACATTAACCTAGAAATACTAGTCACTTATGTTTACCAGTGTCTTATTGATATACCAATACGAACTAATTGAACAAGACCGACACCTTCCATTATCGTACGGATAAAC